ACATCGCCCACATGAAAACTAAACTCACCGTGATCACCCACGTACTGAGGTTTCTTGCTGGAAAAACGTGGAGTGCATCGGTACGAGCAATGCTCCAACTCTACACTGTTCTGTTCCTCGGTTATATGCGATACAGCTTACCCGTGCTTTGCGTGATCCGAAGAACAAACTTGCGCGTCCTCCAGTCGATCCAAGCCCAAGCCCTGAGAATATGCCTTGGTCTCCCGAGATGCGCGCCTACAGCAGCGACAGTCATCATTGCGCGTGATTATCCAGTCAACGCATACATTCACGTAGACGCTTTGAGAATGCACATACGACATTTCGCTCGGTTTCCATCTCATCACCTCGCCTCACTTCGAACTTCCAGGCCCCGCTCAGCATTCAGCGCAACTTTAGCTCAGCATTGCGCAGTGCTTCCATTGCACTTCACGCATGCAGCACAGCCGCCGATACCATTATGGTGCCTACACCCACTAAAGCCCTTCTTACAATTCCTGGCATCCAAAATAAGAAAAAGTCGTCGCATCTAGCCCTGAAACAGGCCACATTACTTTTCCTGCAAGAGAAGCACAACGGACACCTTCACATTTACACGGATGGCTCAGTGCCTTCAGTAAGCTCTGCAGGGGCGGTGGTTATTCCCGCGAGGCACATCACAATTAAATTCATGACATCGCATTTGACGTCGTCGACAGCTGCAGAACTTGCAGCCATTCGTGCAGCTCTGGAGTTTATAGTGAAAGAACCTTCGGGAATTTGGTCGATCTTCTTCGACTCGAAGGCATCTCTTCAATGTCTTATATCACCCTTTCGCCATGGACCTAATGAACAGTTGGTAGCTGAAATAAGGCTTCTTCATCACTAAGCGACCGAAAAACAGCACAGCATAGTGTATCAGTGGATACCAGGTCATTGCGGTGTAAGTGGGAATGACCGCACAGATGAGGCCGCTAGATCTGCACACGATGGTACCCAATACACAGCCATCCCATTCTCAAGAACCGACGCAGCTACAAGACTTCGTTCGCTTGCACGTGACCTCACACTGGTACAGTGGAACTCCACAGACTTCAAAAACGCGCGCCTGCATAACTTGGATCCCGATCTGCAGCTTCGTCTTCCCCCAAGGATATCGAGAGCTGAGGAGACTCTTCTATGCCGCCTGTGGCTTGGAGTGGCCTTCACGAACGCATACTCTTATCTCATTGGGATGGCCAGCTCTCCTACATGCACTTACTGCAGTTGCGAAGAAACCATCGCGCACCTTCTGTGTGAGTGCACCCATTTCAACGCGCAAAGACAAGAACTCACTGCAGCTCTGGATAGACTAGACGATCGGCCTTTGTCGGAACAAAAAATTCTGGGTCATTGGCCGAGCCCATCCTCAGCCCAGAAGGCTTTGAAAGCTTTGCTTTGCTTTTTGCGGACAACTGGCCTCAGAGACAGACTTTAGTGTCTTATACTCTTTGATGTTGCCTTTCCTCTGTCGCAATTTTTTTGTAATTTCTCCCTATCTTCGCAACGTTTCTTTTTAACATGTTTCATTTTCCTCACCCCTCTCCCAAGCACAGCGTAGCCAGCCGGTCGAGGAACTGGCTAACCTCCATGTCTTTCCGCTTAAACTTTCTTCCTCCAGTATACCGTGTGTGCAACTATCGCTTTGAAGCCTCCTTTGTGTGGTGCTGTCGTGTTCGCTAAGCTTCGAGTGTGGTGGTGGATACTGCCAGCCTATGATGTTGCAGTATTCCAGAGTAGGCAATACGTAAGCACTGAGCCTCCATGGACACAGTCCTGGTGTATGAAAAGGGGGAAGGGTAGCCTGGTAGGCGGGAACGCGGGCCATGGCGTGAAACTCCTCGTTCGCTTCCAGTCATTCATGCCCAGGAACCCATGTCTCACAGCTTTACGGCGCCACAGGGCTTCAATGCTTTAGTATCTGGAGTGCTTGAGTAGACACTCGACCTTTGCACTAATTACGCATGGCTGCTTGAGAATATGAGAAAAACAGCTGAATCCAAGCACGTAGTGGAAGCTAGTGTGACTGCAGTCTCTTCTGTAGTTTGTAGGCTTCGGGCTCAAACTGTCTCAGATGCGAGAACTACGACACAAGAATCGACATTTCTATCGTGAAACTTGGCAGCGTCTGTATATATGGCGTCTAGATCTTGGCTGCGTTTTTGTGATTGCAAAATATCTGTAAAGTCAATGTCAATGAGTGCGGCGAAGCGTCTGGTCGTTTTTTGTGCGTCCGCGCTTCTTTCCGTCTGTCCGTGCACCGTCCACCCATTTTTCTTGCTTCAATCTGTCCGTTCAAGCGTCCATCAATGCATCCGCCAGTCTGTCCGTGTTTCCGACCAGCTGGCCGTCCGCGCGTCCGTGCCTCTGTCCGTGTACCCCCCCCCCCCCGTCTGTGCGTCCGAATGAACGACAGAAAGAGGCAGAGACAGACGGAAGAACGCAAGCACGAGCAGATTGACGCACGGATGCACGCACAGAAGCACGTATGGACAGATAGAAGCGCGGTAGGACAGTCGGAAGCACGGACAAAAACACGGATGAATAGACGCAAGCACGGACGCACGCACGGATGAACACATGTACGGATAGACGAATGGCTGAACGGACGAACGCATGAGCGGTTAGCAACACGAATGCCTCATCATCATTCACTCCGTAGATATGCTGTGGAAACCACGAAAGGCCTCTCGTTCCAACATTCCCGACGAGATCTTTTCCCAAAGATGATTCCTAAAAACAAACGATGCCAACGTTTGACCAAGTCATAAACCAGAGGTGGCTACATGCTGCATATAAAGGAGGGAACGGCCCAAGGCCGAAAGAGCTTGGCTCTTAAAAACAAGAACACTGCGCTTACTTTGCGTTAGATGCCACTGACAGGGGACGCATAGGGGTCGTTTCACAAGCGGTACTTCAAAAGAAGATCAAGTTCGGCAGATTGCGCGTACATTGCGAATGGATGTTATGAAAATATGGGGAGAGAAAGTGGCTGTCTTGTAATATGGTTATTGAGCGAAAGGTGACGAATGGACGATAGATAGTTTTGGCCCCAGAACATGTTTAAGGGTTGCATACGTTCTATATGAGAAACTTTGAAATGCGAATGCATTTCTTAGTCAGAGCATGTCAGGCGTCGGTCATGTCCACGCGCCGGCCCGTGTTAACTCTCTCAGATGGACGTGCGGACAGAAGCATGGATGTATGTATGGTCCCTTCACCACACTCATCAACATTCACTCCATGTATGTGGTGTGATTTTTTTCTTACCGCTCTTGCATTAAAATCACCCGTGTCTGTTCATGTCATTCCTAGCTTAGATAGAGAGAGAGAGAGAGAGAGAGAGAGAGAGAAAAGGAAGGCCTGGAGGTAAACGAGACATTAGCACCTGGTTTGCTACCCAGCACTAGGGGGTGGGAAAGTAGGGGTAAGAAGGAGTGTGTAGATAGAGATGGAGAAAAAAAATTGGCAGATCCCACATACAGTGGCAATCGCTGATATGCGATTTTCGTTGTATGTAACAGTCGCGATCACCACTGCGTGTATGCCACTGTAAGGGGAAAGGAAAGGTGGCACACGCACACTGTGTTTCGACTTGCCCTTCTTGTCTACTTGCCACCTTTAACCATGTCGAGTTCAGGGTATATACTAGTTCACTGTATTTATGGCACCGCGGTCCAACGCTCGCTAAACCTTTCTAAAATCAAGGAGGTTACGCCCAGCGAGTATAACCTGGCAACCCTTTCTTGTCAGATAGTGCTCAATGTACATGCCAATGGCTGCTTATTGAGAATGAGAGACAGGAGAATTCCGCTTTTAGTTAACACGCGCGCTGCGAATAACTATCGTACAACAACGCCCAGGAGAAATCGCCCACAGGCACCACCTTGCTGGTCAAAACGTAAGACTGGTTACGCACTACGACTACGACGAGGGATGGTCGGGTGCCACCTAAAGGAGATCGCCCCTAAAAACGCAGGTGCACTCATGAAAAAACGAAAACACACACAGAAAGGGTGTTCTGGCTACAGCCGTTCAGAAAGGCCGGTTGATCGCAAAAAGTGCAGGTTCATACCTGAATATTGTGGCCTCTGGTATGCATGTATGTACAACAAGAGTCCGAAAGAAAGGGTTTGATTATGTGCCTGATGTGATTCTAGATAGATAGGTAGATAAATAGATAGATAGATAGATAGATAGATAGATAGATAGATAGATAGATAGATAGATAGATAGAAATGGTTGAAGGGTACGCAAGAAAATGCATAGAATTCAGTATCTAAGAGCGTCGGATTCTACGTTGTTGACAATTGCAACATGTGCCTAAAAGACGAAGACGCAACATAGGCGATAGCTGTTATTTCACGCTTGTACTGTTCACGTCTGCGCGTCCTTTTGGAACGTCTTTCAGTGTGCTTCAGCGGGAAAGTATAAGTATAGGGCTGCCCGTTGAACATCTGACGCTTCAATATTTTGTTGTATTCATTTCCTGCTGTTGCAGTTTGCCCTAAGGAGGAAACCGACTTCTCTCGACAACAGAAAGCTTACTGTGCTAATGACCAGTTCGGAGCGGGCTTACGCGATACACATAATTTAGCGCCTGACTGTACAGTCAAAACTCTAATAATTTTTTTGTAGACTGGGAAGTATAGTACCTTGCGGACTTCTATTTGTAGTTTTCAGGTAGGCGACAGGAGATGCTGAAAACAACCTGAATGCGTGATATAATTTTTCTTTGAGCTTTGAACACGAAAAGAGCACAGCTTGAGATCTATGAATACAGGGCTGCCAAATATTTTAACATGCGGACGGCCTAAAGTCAACTAAGTGAAACCGTCTTAACAATCCTGGAAGCACCAAAAGAAAAAAAATATTGGCATAAGTGAACTAAGTTCCGTAAGTAGGGAAATGGGCTACGTGAGCTTGCAGTTCTTGGATTTGTTAGCTTACTAGTTTTAGAAAACGTAATATTCATACGATACCCAAAGTGGTGGTAATCATCCGGCTCGGGTCCCCTGTATTAAAAGCTCCTCTTAGTGGAATACTTATTCTGAGTAGAAAAATTAAAAATTCAATGAAACAAACATACATACGCACATATAATCAGATATTTCTTACTTGCGTCTGCCAGAAGAAAAGGTTCTGTTGAAAATTATAAATTCCTGGTTTACGAGACGCTTTATATCAAACAGGCAGCGGACATGCGCAGTGTTTGTGGTTCTGACCGTCCAAATACGTTCAGACGTGTTCTCAAACTGAAAAAAAAAAAGATTGTACAGCAGCAAATAATAAACCCCGCCAAATCCTATGCATTGTGGGCACCGCTTTGATTGATATGTAGGTTTAACGTCCCAAACCACTATATGATTATGAGAGACGCCGTAGTGGAGGGCTCCGGAAATTTAGACCACCTGGGGTTCTTTAACGTGCACCCGTGGGCACCGCTTTGATGTGAAACATTTTGGCAGGAGCAGCCAATGCTGGAGTTTTCGCTTTCAGTCAAGCGTGATGAAGTGGATTCATGGCTCAGAGAGTTCAACTCTTTTTTCAACCAAGCGATAGATGCAGTGCTGACACATGGCTAAATCATCCTCGAAATCCAAGGGTCTCTAATAACTCTCGTTTGCTTCAGTTTACAGAGTAGGTCATGCATGTGTGAGAATTTATCAATCGCTTCTTTGAAAAAAAAAATAGCTGGACTATTTCGGGAAGCAAAAACCTTGTGCGTTCGGGAGCGAAAGAAAGGCGGTGGTGACATTCTTCATGAAAATATACTTTATCTCTGACGTAAGAACTGTGTGTGGATGCTATATACTCTGTTTTTTGTGTCGAATAAAAATCAGTTGAGGCCTATCAGTCGTCCTGTGTGTTATTCTGGTGTTCTTGTGCTTGTAGGCGTTAAGAATAGAGGAATGTACTTTAGTAGAGAGGCGTCATTCCAGCGTTTTCGTGGTTGAGCAAGCAAGTAGCTGAACACACGCCAAATAGCGTACCTAGGCTCGCTTCCGCTCATTATTTAGCACACGTATAAGGCGAAAGAAAGAATTTTACGCTGGCTCCAAGCAAAGACGTTGCTATTCCCGGCGACATTACAACATTTTGACCCCACATTAACCGGCACGTGCAAGCATGGTGAGCAGACAGCCGATGTCTACCATATGGTGCGGGCCTGCCAGCTAAACACAGCGGTTTCTCTCCTTCCCAACCCTACGTGAGAGGACTAAGAGGCAACGCTGCTTAGCTGCTCCGACTTTGGAGCCCAACAGGCCCTCATTACCTGAAAAAGAGAAGGCAGCGCTATTGTCCAATGACTTCCCAGACTGAAGATGTCACCTAGTCAGTAAGGCAATTTTGGGGGCTAATGCGTTCTCTTTTATAATAAAGTTTTTGACCACCACCACCACCACCACGCGTAATAACCACTTCAGTAGGACGACCAAAATAAACTTTCAACTAAATTTTTTGAAAAGTAAATTTTTGTTGATGCGTAAATTCTTCTACCACTACATCATGCCTTATAGAGTACATTTGATGCGCTACCACAAAATTGGTAAATTATGCATAAAATGAATGGTCGGTATAATTTATTTTGTGCAATGGTATAGCGTGGTACGTGCGTATATACTGGTATGTCTGTTTCTTGCATTCTCTTTTTGGTTTGAGGAGCACACATAACTGTCCAGCTTTCACAGTTGTTGGCGCGCATCTTGTGTAGGTTTTTTTAGAATTTCCTCTCTTAGCGGTGCATGTTGGAGCTGCATTACAATTTGTTACGATGGCACACGATCCTTCTTCTTGTGTCAATATAACGCACAATGAACGCTAAGCTACTTCTTTGAAGACACGTTCCACTTGCGCCGATCTATGTGACAGAGGAATAGACCATGTTGTTTTTCGGGTAATTCAGTGATGTACTCATTTCCATTTTGTAATCCTAGAAAAAACTAACATACGTTTAATTATTCAGTAACGTGACGGGTCACGTGCCGCGTTAAATTTATTGCAAGTATCCCAAGCCTTCTGTAAAAAACGTATTTGTCTCATAGGGCAGGTTCACTGGAGCTATTTCTTTACAGCAGTGCCAGACGGCCATCGACCAGCTGCTAGCTTTTGACAATAGTGGTACCATCTTATGCGTCAGTCGAACGCCTATTTGCCGTAGCTGCGGACGTATCCCTCGAGAACACAGATTTTCTGTTAGACGAGCGCTTAGGCTCATAAATTGTTGCCTATATTCGACCAGTGCGACATGTCATAAACAAGTAGTATTTGGTGTACTGTGCTGTAGGGTGCTATTGACCTACAGTACAACGGCGCTGTTTCAGTGGGTACTCTATAGTTCTGTACTCAAAATAAATGTCCCTTTTTTGCGAGCTTTTGCATGCGTGTGTGCGTTTCTAGTTGTTGAAACTCTGAGCGAACAAGAATTACATTGAATGCATTCACACATCACTCATAATTTTAGCCGCAAATATACATGTTGAACAGGCAAAGGCGAATATAGCAGCGAGTTTATTTTGCAGACTGTTCAATTGAGATATATGAATATCCGTACAAAATACACTAATATGATTTGTTAATAAATTTACCTAGCCTTCGCAGTTATTGTAAATTTGCTCGGAAATCAGTGCTTTTTTACCAGGAAGCATCGCTGATGAAATCTTTTTTTTGCCACAGAAATAGCTTCATCACGTTCTACGCATTTATGAGCGACCTTATGGAATCCTACCGAAAACATTAGGAACTTTGCTGAAGCCCTGTTCATCTGTACAAAGTTTTCTTGTTATATCAGTGATTCACCTAAAAATGTTGTTTCGGAAGAACGTTTTGTGTTAAAAATAAACATGAGGCTTATAAAAATTTAAGGGAAATGGGTAGGCCCTATATTCGCCATGTATTTTGGGCTCTTATGTGTTTTTTTCTGCGTAACCATAAGAGCTAAAGTGTTAACCTTTTTGCCATTATTGTGATCCATTATTGTGATTAATTTCTTCTTACTGAAGCAGACTTACCACTGCACAATATAATGCTCACATTGTGTAAATATTTTACTTCAGGCAGCTAATTATCACTCGATAGTAGCTAGGAGATTTCTTGTATCAAAAGAGCACTTGCTCTCAAAACAGCATTTTTGCTTCAGTATATTTCCGATTAAGCATTTTAAATACTGTTCAAAAATATTATTATAAAAACTGTGGTTGCTGAGAGAAAAGAACCCAAGTATAAAAAGCATGTTTTGACGTAAGCCGCTCTTCTAGCTTTCGCTGTGAGCGTGCTGCGCATTCCGCGCAAGCATGGCGTTTTTCGTTTACGAATTAGTGGTCCACAGTTCAACTGCGTTAGGTTAAATTTACACCAAGTTCCGTCATCCCTCGAGCAAGGGAAGTTAGATTTATTTGTACGCGTTTATTACATGTGAACATATGTAAACCAGACAGCTTTTTGCATGTCCTGCGTGCTGGCCCTATTTCTTTATTTGGCTTAACAATAATAGTTTTGGTGCTTGCCGATGAATACCCCACTAAGACGTCCCCGGCCAGAGCTTACTGCCTGGAAAGCAGCTTTTTATGCAGCCTTATCTTTTTTTTTTGTTTTCGTAGTTCCGGAAATATTCTTTTTCTGATTGTGAAAATGCATTTCAGCTTGCAAAGAGTAAGGTCTCAATGTGGCTCTAATGCTTCAATGGCCAGAAATTCCTTGCTACGTAAGTATGGGGGCATGTCAGGCCAACGCACAAGATTTGAAATGTGTCTGTTTTTCGAAAAAACAGTACTAACACAAGCGAACGAGTGATTTTGGTTCTGAAAGGGCTGCAGAATTCAAATAACGCCAATAAACTTTTTTCAATATATTTGCTTACCCTGTTCTCTTCAACTGCTTAATGCAGCAAGAACGCACTGTGAACTTGAAGTAACGAAATAAGCAGCGTGCATTCCCCTCGCTATTACATGTGAAGCAGATTATAGCAGAGTACCATTCGGTGTACTGGCCCACGTTTACTGCGTATGAATAACAGCTGACCCAAGCTCTGCCAAAAGACGTTCCCTTCCTAGCGCGTCCCGGCCTGTGTCAGGGGTTGGGAAAGACGCTGTGGCCTCTCCCCCTTACGTTTTCTCAGCAATCATGTGATGGCTTCGGGGAGCGAGATTCAGCAGACGCGTGATGAGCCAAAGCGTTTTATCCTTGTCAGAACATGCTGGCACGAGCTAGCGCGTTCGAGTCTTCGTAAATGGCGGTGTAAAAGCCGTGGTGTGCTAATGAAATATGCACCCCTCGTGCTCCTTCGCATCGCCTGATGGTCCCTTTAAACGGGATATGGTGTAATTTTAGATGCGGAACATCTCTTTCACTCACGTTTCTAAGGCTGTTCGTACAAACGCGCCGCAACGCGTTCACCTCACCGCAGATGCTGGTGCAGTGCCAAGTGGGTCAAACCGTAGCTGTGCGTTCACGTCACACTCCCCTCGCAGCTTCCTTCGCAGGTGCGTGCTGTCGTCACGCTCTCTCTCACCCGCAGCTTGCTCGCCGCAGTGCCCGCTGCTGCCAGCTCCTCCGCCCACTCGCAACACGCTTCTCTCTCGCTTCACTCTTTCAACCCCCGAAACACTCGACGTTGAGTGGAAATACTGGCCTGTTTATCTGAGAGAAAATTTGCACAAAACCAACCCACCTTCCCTGTCTTTGCGTTTCAAACAAACGTTTACTCGAGTAAACGCTACACCAAGTTTTGCTTCAAATCGTTATTTCAGCACCCGCGTCGACGCCCGTTTAAACCGGGTCAACGCCGTGCACACCACTACTGCTTTTCATCCTATCAGAATTTCTTCAAGGAGATGGTTCATATTTTTTGGGACGATAATGCGTTAGCTCTTCTTGTTTCGAAAGTAGGGCGGTGACCCGTTCTTTTTCTGTGTAAGATTTATCACTACGTTACGCGCATGCAACAATGCCAAAGCTTAGGGATAACACTGTTACAGCCCAATCGGTAATCAATAAATAAGCAATGCAATAAATAAAAGAC